CGGGAAGAGAGATAAAGGCTCGAACTTCTCAGGTGTGATTCTATGCCGAAGGCGAGTCAGAACTCACACCGGGCAGAACTTTAGTATCTACACATTGTTCTCAGGGCCATAATACTATATTTGCTGGGTCGTATATCGCACTTAAATAAGGCTTCACGATATGAAAGCACTAGCGCAGACTCGTTGGAGAAACTTCGGCTGAAGCTCCGTTGGCCTGAAAAGTAAATGACCGAAATATGAAGCATGTACGCGGGATTGATCTGAGCCAAGCTTCGCGTAATGGGCGGGAGACGCTCCATCGACCTCAATTCTATGAGGCTTGGCAGGCGCATAACAGTACAGACGACAGCTGTGAGTGATGGAATTTTAATTTCTCGACGGCCTTTTTCCATCCCCATCGGATGTTCCCCCGCAGGTATTCCGTTCATAGCGACACTTTAGCCATCTTTTCTGTCTTGTTTTCTCACTGATAGGTAATTTTATTTGCGTGCGTTGTGAGACATCCATAGACGGGCCCTTAGGTTAAAGGTGAGAAAAGATCATTCTACTGTAGGTGTTAAAACACATCTTATTTCCTCTCATCGCACAAAGCTGTTGATATTCTTCTGTTCCTCCCTAAGAAACCATAGGTAGCAACTGATCACAAAATCAACTCATCCACTTCACGTACCATTTCGCAGGCCCTACAATCTTGCTACATCCGGCACGGTCGTTGATTTGGTCATGGCTAAGTAAAGATCCGGTAGGCACGGCCTTGTTAACGGGAACTTTTTCGTGGTGCGAGATATTGTGATGGTGATTTGAGACTGTTGTGGGTGATGTAATATGCAGCGATATTTTTTTCCAGTGTCTGTTGTGAATTGCCGATTGCGAGGAGATATCCTTGCCTGATCCACTTCCATACCTTTCTTTCTTTAAACGCTGTTATTGGAGTCCTCTTCCGGACTCTTGAATGTACCCCCATTTTTGATTAATATCTATCTCTGTCTCTATTATTGATACGCCGACGGGGTTTCCTACACATGTTCGTACGGTCTGCCAATAGCTTCTTGGGATCACTGAAATCTCTAATCTAGAGCTCACTCTCCAGATGCGTTTATGTTAATTGATTACCCTATTGGCTCCGTGCGTAATGTGTTGGTTGGACTTTGTAAATGGGATAATTATCTACACATTATATTGGGATTTATAGTTTATATAACCGCCGTGTCTGTGCTACGAACTCTGCTAGGTAATGGCAGACCATTCAGTGATCGAGCTAGTGGCGCAATTGGCTCGGGCTTACTGCCTACCTTCCCTCCCCACCTGCGAGAGTATGCAAGATCCTCACTTGGCCTCTTATTATTAATCACTGACGGGAGTCTTCCCGTGACGAGATGGTGATGGCACGTACTTATGCTAACATTATCGAGGGTTATTTGCTCCCTCCCACTCCCATAAATGCAGCAGCTGAGTAAAGCAAGATTTTGATTTTTTAAACAAACTGGTGCCGCTCGCTGGGGTTTCTGACATCCAAGTTTTTAATGTATCCCCGTATGTTGCATTGTCCATACTTTTTCTCCTTCATTGGGTTGGACCGTATTTCACAACTATAGACTGGCTGACGCAAGACAAGTTCACGCTTCACAGCCTTCCTGCAAGTTTGTTGCCTTTTTTGTTAGACGACTCTTTCCATCCTTACCATTTCCCTTAACCGTGTTTTCAAAGGCGTCAATGTGAGAGTCCAGAGTCTTCACGGTTGGCTGGGGCTCGCGTCTTACACCGAATTTCTTTTGGGTATGATGAAGTCCTATCTTGCAGAGGGGAAGTGAAATCAGGGTTTCTCTCAAATGCAGTCGAATGCCATTGGAGGAGTTCTGCGTATGATAGTCAAAATGAATAAAAAGACTTCAGACATTCTCGCATATTATTTAATCACACTATTTCGGAGCAGTCACTATATACGAGCATAAGCCTTTAAATTCCTTGACATTACCATGCCAGCGCAGTGGTGTAACCGCACGAACTTTTACTGCGGTCGCTATTGCTGAGGAGGAACGTAGTCAGAGATTAGGTTACAAGAGGAAGAGGGCCGTAATTATTCTGATTAGGCGCCCGATACGGAAGCAGTATCGTGGGGACCAGATATGTAGACATATCAATCGGCCAGGTTCAATGAGCTAGATTGAGTCGAAATTGCTAAGATGCATTTTATTGGACTATGGACTAGCAAAAACAGTTCAATGGGACAGTGTGTGGATATTCAAGTCCCCCACGATCCATACAGGTGAGTGAACAGAAAATTATACTCTCACATAATATTGATTCCGATCAATGATTTGACAGCACACACAGGTCAAGAGAGTGGTAACCAATGCTATTCGGTTTAATTAACTGATTGCCTATAGTTCTATAACACTGGTTATTAGCATTCCAACGGTTAGAAAGACTCCGGCCAGCAAATAAAAAGAGTCAGTACTAGGCTTTCAAATTCTTGCAGAGATTTCTTTTGCTTCACAATTCGTAAACAGTTGGACCGGCTCAAGACCACATTTCATGAACTTTTTAAGTCAGCGTCGCTCCCCTCATTGTCGTGATATAATGACTTGCTATCTCCTTGTTAGTAACAAGCAAACAACGTTGCTAGTTTGGATCTGAGACCTCCACCTGAGTAATGCTCAACTGCCTTGCAATCACATTAACACTTGCGAAGGTTACCATTCACAGTCGCTATCGTCTCGGGTCCTGACTGGCTTCTGCTACACACTATCCCGATTATTATTTTATCAATTTAAAAATGCTGGCTACTCATAAAGGCTCTAAGATCTTGTGGTGTCTCTTCTTCAATTGGATCATTCCTATTCATTATTACTATTGCGGGATTATATAGAAACGTGTTCCCGGTGAATTCCACGCTTGGGTCTTGTGTGAAACTTGACATTGATTCAAAATAACTGGTCCAGATACCCCATCTGTCTTTTCTGACTCCAGGCCCATCAGTTTGACTAGGCGCCCTACTGTAATCTTAATTATTATGGTTCATAACAGCCAAGGTCTTATCAAGAGTAGATTGAATATGCTCGTTTGTTGCTCAATTTAAGGTGCCTTAATCGGCCGAGTACATGATATTACTTCTATCAGCGTTGTTCGCTGTTAATATTTTGGCTTAGACAAGAATCTTGGGATGCGTATATCTCATCGCCAATGAAGCTCTGTTGATTAATGCTCAGTGTTGTATGCCGCAGGACCTCTCTCTTTGGGTGGGCGCCTCCCTTCTCTACAACACTTGGAATTTTCAGAGCATTTTCAGCTTCTGGTGTATTTAGGGTGTACCCACATTGCAGATAACATTCTCCTTTTCATGATTCTTCCAATAAATTTCGGTTTCAGGTGCATTTGCCAATGTGATTTTCTCTTTTGTGGATAGTGAACCTGTAGGCTTTTCTTTCACCCTCATCTTCACTCTATCTTGCCTCTTTTTGTGATGCAACTGAGCTCCCCCCATCCACCTCTTTTAAGAATTTCCCCTCTAGAGAGGCTTATTCATAGTTGTTGCCACAGAAGTGACTCTTCTCTCTTCTGTCCCCCCCCATTTTCTCTCTTCAACCATCTTTTCGTAGGGTATTGAAATGTGGTTTGATATTCTTATTCTCATTTCCATTTATATATGATCCCACACTACACATACTTCAATGCTTATCCGAATGGAGTTTGTGATTTATTTTTTTGGTTAGTTTCTCTGGGTATTTGTGAATTCTCTTCATCTCTCATCTAGCAATTTTTTTTCACGTTATTGTGCACTACTTATGTTTTCTAAGCAATCCAGTTTATGTTGGTGTTACGACGATATTAATTGTAATACTGAACATACAGCTAATTCTTCACGTTGTCGTTTGTTATCGAATTTAACTCTCTCGGATCGATGAACTAACTTTCCTAATTAGCGGGTAACGTCCTTTGTATATCATTCGCTGGTTGTATGGGCTACCCCTTTTTTGCGTTAACAGACGGACTCCCACTCATCCATTCACCCTCACGTTCATAAAACAGTAGCCGAATTCTTTAACTCTAGTCTAAGTGCTGCATGGTGAGTCTAATTCGTTAAACCCCATATGCAATTAATCTTGGTGCAATGCACGTATCTATGTGGCCTTAGGACCACAAAACAAGACTCTTGCATCTAACTTAGACGGAAGCCTATACATTTACAAAGTGACAGAAAAAGATCTAGCCACTCATTACGTAACGAAGTATTATACAGCCCGTCAATTCTTATTCCTTCTGTGGCAGTGACGTTATCACTTTGAATTACCCAATCTATTCACTCTCTTTCCTTACTCTTTTCCCCAATATTTGATTTTATACGACCATCATTGACTCGTACTTTTCATTAACATCCCTATCTACAACCGCTCGGTCAAAACTAACTAACTTGAATTAGGGAATATCATTAGATCCTTTTTTTATGGGCGCGCCGTGAATAGTGACTCCCACCCCTCAAACCCCAGCGACACTTCAATCAGTCTTCTCTCAAATGCTTGAGGAGCCATCGCTCTGTTACGCAAAATTCTATATGGAGGCTTGGGGCTTCCAATGGCCAGTATTAAGATTCGTTATAGGGTGACCACCAAACCTCGACTTAAACACTGCTCCCTCACTTGCGAGAGCACCTCAGTGTGGTTGAAGATTCGCTCAACCGTTTTTTACCAAAATGCACCCCTACTCTTTTCAGAGTGTGTGGAGGATATAGATCAGATCTCATGCATGTGACGAAGGAGGTTCTCTCGAATGTGCCTATATATTTACACAATTCGTAATGACGGCAAACACCTCATTATTGGTGCAACAGTTTACTGTCCCCACTTGGAGTAAAGATGTTCTTTACTCGTTTTTTACCCCCTTAAACCTGCATACTATCCCTTTTACTTACCACACACAATATCACCTTCCCCAGCCTTTCCACTGCACACAATTCTATTCTCTTATCTAACCGAATTTTTCGGTAATTGCACTCTCATCACTAGCCCCCCATCGTGCTTTGTGTGTCCCCCATGTTAGAAATATTGTCTCCTGCTCAAATACTCTACTCATCGACACAATGAGCTCCACACAGTCGCCCCATGTCGTACACACACTACTCTCGTATCTCTAAACTCCATTGGTAAAGATGCTTCACTACTCTTTAAGAGTACATCCATTGCATGGCCCCCTCATCGAGACTCACACACACTTTTCCCCCGTAATAGGTCACTAACTACGCCATGCCCGACCGAGCTTCTCCTCACGTACAACTGGTGTGCCTCAATTTTTATATACCTTCATCATACACCCCCATCATTTTTACACCCTCAACTCTAACACCACTCATCCAGCTAACGACTGGCTATTCTTTCTAGTGGAATTCCTCACGACTCCCGAGCTACCTCCCACACATACTACACACACACCTTACACACACACACACTACACATCACACATCACTACGTCGCCTAGACGGTCCAACTCACCCAACCGTCTCTCTCTCCGGTCTAATGTAACACACTACCCATCCACATCCCACATACACACACACTATGAAACACACACACACATTTCATATGAAGGCCCACAATCACTTTTGCACATGACATACCACACACACACGACTTCTAACAGGCAACTCTCCATTACGTATATATGCTTTTGCCTTCTCTATAGGACACTCAATATAGTCCACAAATTAAAAATGAATAAAATTCTTTGTGCAATTGTTAGCAATGGTCAGAGATGCAATAAAACTTACTATATCAAACATGGTCGAAAAATCAACTCCTTTTTAATTTTTTATTTTTTATGAGTAAAGAATAATTATTTTGTGTAGGTGAGTACTATAACGGCATTTATTAAGTTGTAACACAAGAGATACGTTGTACCATTGGTTTTAATCGATAAAATACGATCTAAAGAATTTATTAACATGTTATTACGATATATATATAGTAATTTATATATGTTTTTGCTTGTGTTTTGGTGCATAGCTATATATAAGAAAAAAGGATAATAATATAGTCTTTTTCAGGGGTGATTCTCGTCAGATTTAATGGTCTGTATTTTAATATTGAGCACAAGAGTAGACATTTCATTAGCTTGAGTTATTTAATTTGTATTAATTTAATATTATTCATTTATAAAACTCAATCTGTTGTATAAAATAACAAAATTGATTTTAGTATTGACTCAACTCTAATTTCGATGTACTAAAAAATAACAAAAAAAAAAGAATTTAAGTAGCCATCTAAAAAATATCCTGTTTTAAAGTCTTTGTAGTAAATTATTAATATAATACATGCTCAATTTATAGACATGTACAATATTCTTAAACTTTTAACTTTTCTCAAATTTACTTTTCAATATTTATGCCTAAATTTGACTTTTGATTGAAGTGTTTCAGTACACAACAATATATTATTATTCATCAAAAAAAAAAAAGAATTTATCCATTTTTTCATTAAAATAGTGAATATCATCTTTTATCGAATCTGATAGGTAAGATTTTCAGTCAACAAACTCTAACTGACTGATGGATGAGATACTGTGTGTGCATCTGCATGAGGAGTAATGCTGCAGCTATCCTTATCTGATATAGTTGATATCTTATCAGGCCCCGGCAAGCTGATGGGGTGATGAAACTCCATGAGCTTGGATTTGAGATAAGAAAACCGGCCAACAGACAAGGGTTTAGTGAAGATATCCGCTAACTGATCGGTGGTAGGAATGTATTGCAAATGCAATTGTTTAGCAAGAACTTTGTCACGAATGAAGTGACAATCAACTTCTATATGCTTTGACCGAGAATGAAACACCGGATTATTTGCGAGAGCAATGGCGGAGACATTGTCACACCAAAGGATAGGAAGAGTAGGAAGAGGAATGTCAAGATCATGTAGGAGCATAAGTATCCAGGTGAGCTCAGCAGTGGTGTGAGCAAGGGCTCGATACTCGGCCTCAGTAGAACTTCGA